GCTGCACTGACACCTTCCCTCCTTAGGCAGGTAGCTACTACCCTGTCAACCCATGGCAGCTACTGAAAAGCCACCCCGGTGATGACCCTGTGCCTGTGAATCCACCAAGGAGGACACTTGCTTGGTGCTACCCGTGGGAGACAACCAGAGAGCGTGACATTGTGACGACCTTCATAGCAGAGAGGCCATCCTGGGGCAACAATGAGCTCTAACTGCTTTCTTTTCTTAGCAAGCTTCTCTAGAGAAAGCCTCTGATACAGGCAAGTCTCACCTGAAGTTCAAAAGCAAGGGAGTGGCTTAGGAACAAACCTGCTGCTCACTTCAGCAAGAGAAGGACCTGGATGGCTTTGAAGCTCCTGAGGCATGCTCAGTCCTCCTGGCTCAGGGACATACCCATCTTCTGACCAACTCCTGCCTACCACTACACATCACAGTGAAACTGCTCCACGCTCAGCAAGCTAGAGAGAAGCAGCAGCTTTTGGGCTGGGAGCAATGCAGAGACCTTTTGCCCAGCAGGAGGCAGAGGGGAGACTTACGGGCGCCCACCTCGTCCGAGCAGTCTCCGCAGTCGTTCAGCCCGTCGCACCTCTGGTCAGCGTAGACCCAGGACAAGGGGCTACTGCACTGGAAAACCAGGTGCCCTGGAAGGCTGCGTGGCACGTCACCTGCAAGGCGGGCACACGGGACACGTGCTCAGCTCCACAGGCTCAGATGGGGAGGTACCAAAGGCTGCTGTCTTGGGGGGACACTTGGTCCTTCCCCTGTGCGGGGTCAGGGCATGAGCGACGCTGCAGATGGGGAAGCTGCACTTGGACAGGGAAAGGGACATTTGTGCCTGAGCCAGAAGCAGAAGCTGGGTGCCACAGGCTTCTGCTTTAATGATTTTTTTTTTTTTCCCCAGAGTAACTGGACAATAAACCAACTATGTAGGCATACAGCTTAATCAATGGAAGAAAACTGCATCATGGTTTAAAGAAATACCTTAGGAAGATGAGATGAGCTTGGAATGTTTGATTCCTGGCACACCTGCTGGGTTTTGAGTGCCATCTCTCAGTGTCTGCCCTACAAAGGATCTACCAGGCTTATCTGCTCACATGTGCAGTCAGAAGCACAGAGCAGGATTAGAAAGACATCAGCTGCTCTGCCTCACAACAGGGAGAGCAGCCTGGGGAGGATGGTCACAAGAAAACCACTCACCACAGAGTTTCTCCTCCTCATCCTCTCCGTTCCTGCAGTGGCTGACTTTGTCACAGACCTGTCTGGCCAGGATGCAGGTCACTCTGTCATCACATAAGAAGCCTGTTTTGTTATTGGTGGCTGCACAGAAGCGGTTCACTGAAGGGAAGGCAAGAAATACTTTATTTTCAAATGTTTTTGTGGCATTAGGAAAAGACCAAGGTGAACAAAGGGGGATTTCTGAAATTAAATTGTTCTGCAAGTAAGCAGGGGCCAGGATGGGCAGATTCTACTACACTGGTAGATTCTTGGCAGAGTCTGAAAATTCAGTCAGTACTCTGAAGCGTGACCACACCACCAGAGTCACCACAGCTCTACGGAGGAGGACAATAGAACAGTGGTGGCAACTCAGGCTGCCCAAGGCTGGCACAGCCCCACTCCACCCTGCTGGCTCCTTTCCCTCCTCCCAGTCTGCACTGGGAAGCCTGGCTTCACCCACAGCAATGGGCACGGAGGCTCTTCTCATGCAACATCATTTTCTGCCTCCCTCACCAAAAGAAAACAACTCCTGTGACACTGACCTGGTGCTCGTGGCAGGAGCCCCAGTGCCAAGCCCACGGCGGCAGCGAGGACGAGCAGTGCCAGGGCAGGGATCCAGACTCGCCTCCCCAGGCGGGCACCGCGCGGCTGGCAGCTGTCTGTGGGGAGCCAACAGCGAGAGCTGAGGGGCTGGGGAAGGGTCCTGGCAGGGTGTTCTGGCCCAAAGCCACGAGAGTGATGTTTTGGGGGCTCTGCATGCAGGATTGGCAGGGGCTGCTGAGGTTTAGGGGTTGATAGTTGAGTTGTAATAGCCGAATTCTGACATTAGATGCCTCCTCTTTGGGAGTTTCATGGCTTGGAGCATGGAGAGCCTGTGCTGCTGTTGCAGACCAAACAGCACAAATGCCACATCTCCATCAGGGCTCACCCAGCGTGCAGGGATGCAGGAAGGTGGAGAAGACCAAGCTCCTGCCCAACCCTGCAGGACAGCAATGCCCTTTTCACACTGGGAGCAGCTGAAACACTGAGTAGGTCACTGAGGGCAGGAGCCCTCCCAGCATCCATGGCAAAACTCCTCAGGAGGTGAAACTGCACTTTACAGCTTTCTGCCCCAACCAGGACTGTAATGCTCCCACCAACCAAGGTTGAATTATCAGCTCAAAATGGCAAGAACTGGCTGAAGAGCAGCCCTTTTCCTCCCCAAAGTCAGCTCTAGGCTACAAAGAGCAGCAACCCTTCAGGGGCTCCAACTTCCAGACAGTCACATCTGTAAATCAAAACAAATCCAGAGGGATTAAAGGCCAAACCCACGGTCAGTGTAACACAACAGCAGCACACCCAAGAGCCAACACCAATCAGCTGCCTTCATCTCAGCTTTCTGCAGCAGCACCAGTGCCTTGTCTCTAAACCAACATTGTATTTTCTTGCATTCCCTTGGATTTCCAGACCAACAGAGAAAAAATTAGTATGATCATCTGAGGAACACATAACCGGTCACTTGAGACAACCCTGCATGTAGAATTGGATATTTGTATTTCTGAACCTTAGAGAACTTGAAAAGTTAGAATATGTCTCAGCTGTGTTTCATATTTACGTAGCAGATGTGTTGCACAAACACAAGGGAAGGCACAGCCTTTGCTCAACAAAGGGATCCCAGCTGCACTAACCACCCCCTCCAGCACACTGAGTGGAAATCAGGCACAGAACATTTCAGCTTAGAAGAAAAGTGGTGAATCACAGCATCTCTGCAGGACAACACCTTCAACCAGAAAGCACAAGTTGCAAATAGACACGAGTATAAAATAATGGCAGTGATAAAATGTTGTTGCAACTCAATCTACAGGTCTGCTACTGGTTGTCTGATCTCATCTTCTCCTTAACATGGGCAATATTTGCTGAAGTTTGGCTATTAAAATATACTAAAAACCTACAGCAAGTTCATTATGATCCTTCTGTGGCAGAACTGTGGATTCCCTATCACACTAATATAGCATAACACTGCCAACTCCAGGCCAACAAAGAACAGCTTAAGTTTATTAATTTTACAGTCTGGATGTTTCATTACACTGGAGGGGGAGGAAATAAAAATCTGTCTCAGCAGACCATAAATACTGGTTGTATTTCACATTAAATGGATAGGTTCAACTGATTTATGCTTTAATAATAAAAATGTTAAGCTCTGCATTTTATTCGTTACCTCTTTCTTCAGAGAAGGACTTTGTTGACTCAAAAGTAGCTATATCACCATTTCTCTAGAAGGAAAGGAATAAAAGACTGTTTACAGAAGCAGCACACAGTAACCACACAAGGAATGCCCTTCTAGTTGTCATACCATACCCAGGAAGACAAAGTATTCCTTTATTTTCACATACCAGCAACAATTGCCTTGGTGGAACCGTGGCCCAGATTTAATTCACAAAGCAATCGACCAGATCACCTTTTAAATCCCAGTTACCCATTTGTAAAACAAACAGTAGTGCAAGTCCAACACTTTGTATCAGTACTTTCCTTTTGTATCCAAGTAGGTTAAGTAGAAAGGACCCGAAATCTCACCAAAACCAGGGACAGAGACGTCAGGCAAACAACACTGCCAGGAGCACGACTACCTGAGGAAACAGCTACCCGTAAGATTTTTCCGAAGAGCAGGACTCTACCTGGGGGTGAGTTTTGTTCATGCTTCCCTGAGCTACAGCCCTCACAGCAGCTCAAAGCACCACAGGGAGTTCTCTGCACCTTAGCAAGAGCGAGGTTACCAGGATACAAGCCCCAACAGAGGCAGGAGAGCAAGGAGCCTGCTGCCCAGGCACGCAAGCAGAGAGGACGGGGAAGGCGGCGCCGAGCCCGTGCTGCAGCTGGGAGCAGCCTTCTCCTTTGCTTCTTATTCCTCCTGGCTCCACCTCGGCTTCACAACAGCACGTCAGGCAAGTCACAACGGACACAGAGGGGTGCCGAGACCTCTGCTGCTGCTCATGATGTGTTTGGAAGATGAATACTCGTCCCTGGCTGACACCAACTGCATTTACTCTGGTACCAGTCAAGGAGAACCCCCCTCTCATGATCAAAGCTTGAGGGAAGAGAGTCTCATCATCTCCATACAAGTCTCCTTTCTCCCCACCTCCTTCCCAAGACAGAGCTAACACACCAGCCTTGTAGCAGCATCACCCCAGACTCCTGCCAAATGATCAGATCTCAGCAGAGCTGTGCAGGATACAACCATCCTGAAAAGCTCCCTTGCTTGGGCAATGAGCACAGGCATAGAAAATCCTCCAGGATCCTCTTGTACTTGCATACTTGCAGTGAAATCTCCACAGCTCAGCCTGTGGCTAATGTCAACTTACAAATAGATTGCAGCCTTCTAAACCGGTCTCAGCACAGCACACGCAGTGTGGAGTTTTACAGTTTCAAGGATAAAAAACATCCTGAACAGGGCTGGGGGAGGAGAAACAGCACTGGCATGAAGCGTTTGAGGAGCCCCTGTTCTTGCTTGCAGGAGGGCCCGTAGGACTCAAGTGACCCCAAATTGTTGCTGCCTCCCAGATGACAATTCCTCCCCAAGCACTACCCAAACTAGCTCACTAGGGCTTTGGAGAAGTTGGCAGCTATACTGCCTATCAGTTGAGCCCAACAGTTGCCTCAAATTGATTCAAAGCACCAAATAATGCCTGACATTGAGGAAGAACTATGGTCACTGCCCTCTCCATCCCCACATGTACAACTCATTCACCATTACATTAACTTTGAGTTAATACATGCTTCTTGACAAGGGCACCTGCCAGCCCTGCACTCACCTGTCCACAGACCAGCCAGAATTAAACACAAGTCTTTTAGAAGCTCCTCCCCTCAGCACAGCAATGCCAGTTTGTCCAAAGCAGAAACTTCTCACGGGAACACATCACTGGTAAACTTGGTGCTAGGAAGCTCTCCTGTTCCAAGGGGCATTTGGGGTGAAAACACCAAATGCCAAGTAGCAAACAGCCTGCAAGTGTGGGCAGGAAGAAGGACAGAGTAAGGGTTAAAACCTGCCTATCTATAATTCTGGATCTATTTCTCTTCAAAGAAAGGTTTGAGTTTCTAATCAGACTTGGTACAGAAGGATTATTTTGAGCCTTCAGGACGGTTAGCAAGGTGATTGTGAGTTTGTGAAGAGTCCCATGTAAGAATCAGGTCAAGAGTACCCCATAAAAGAATCAGTGATGGAAACGTTCAAAATGGGGATTAAACCAAATCTTACAGGCAAATGCAGCTAAGACCTGACATCTATCACCATCTACTTCCTACACCAAGATTATCAAGCTCAGCTGTAGCCAACCAGGGAGTTGGATTTTAGAGCAGTTACCCCACATCAAAGACTGCTTATAGTTCAGAAGAGTGAGTTCCTGAGAAAGAGGCAACAAACACAAGCCCTTCTGAAGTAAATATAATAGAAGAAATCTTTGCTAAAAATGAGAAGTTGAACTGAGAACACAGATCAAGATATCCAGTGTGATAGACTACTGTTAATTCCAGCACCCAAAAAAAACCCAAGCCCCCCCAGTGTGTATTTCCACCAGCAATGAATTGCACACACTTGAGAGGGTTGCCTCATTTGTGTCAAGAAGATTCCATTTTACATTTGATACAAGTTCATTTGAACACACGCCAAAAGAGAATATAAAATGCTTTCCTCCTACAATTTCAATAATTGAAAGCCCTTCATTTAGTCAGTGGTCTCGAGTAGAGATCAAACCCAGATTGCAGCCTCTGAAAATGAAGATCAGGCAGTCAAACGTTTAACAAAAACTGAGTAGGACAAGCCATTTTGCAGAGTCAAATGCCAAGACAGCTTAAATAGCCCATTTAGATTAGAAATCTTGAGAAACGGTTCAATTACTGCAGCCTAGCCAGTATCTGATTTTACTGAGGGATGACACGAGCTTACAAGTGCACCACAAACCCCTCAGAGCCTGGCTCACTCTGGAAACAGCAGAGCCAAGTGCCAGATTGCCACAGGCACAGAGCTGCCCGTGACCCAACAGCACATTCCTGAATCCCTGGCCCCACTGCACAGATCACTTAGCTGAAATGTCATTGAACAGCGAACAAAAGACACAACACGGAGCGCTTGTGTTGAGTTTTCTCCCTTTGTTGGAGGCAGATACAGAGCCAAAAGCAAGCAGAAGCTGTTTAACTCAAACCTAGGAATGTGAGCATTAAAATCAAACCTTTTGGAAGAGGAAGTTTTGTGAAATCAAGTCACCAACGTAACAGAGGTTGTACTGCACACATCTGAACCAGGCAAACAGCCACGAAGCTCTAACGCTCCCTCTGCAGCTACATGTCATAGTGAAGGAAAACATTTGAACAGACATGAAAACATTTCCGTGTTAGTAATTGTGTTAGAAAAACTGGGATTGCTAACCTCTCTTCCAGAAAGGCAATCCTGAACAACACAGTGCTGAGACAATCCCTGAAGTAAAGCTCCTGTTTACAAATCAGATGAAACCTCCATTGCCCCAGTCACGTTTACCTCCTGAAGCAGAACACTGGCATCCTGCCCTGACATGAGGCTGTACATGGAGGTTTGCACTACAGGAGCAGAAACACAGGTCCTGACCCAACCCCTGCTGCAGACAGAGTGACTTCCCACCCCTGCAGCCCTGAAATTGAAGGGTGTTTGGAAAACATCACTCTACCAACTCCCACCATGGCCTTTGCCACCTACACAGTCACCTGGCAGTGGCTGCTGGTACCCAAGTCTCTGAGCTATGACATTGTCCCACTGAAGAACTTAGCATGAGGAGGTACCCTTCAAACTGCCATTTACTGCACATTGATAGAAGCCTCCTTAAAGCAAGCATCTCTTAGTGCTCTCAGACCTCACTGACAGGAAGCCCTCCCGGGTGCTTCTGGGCCAGGGATTGCAGCAGCCCTGCACAGGCCACTCCAGGCACGTTCCTGCTTAATGGTCCCTGCAGAGTTACACACCCACCAGCATTACACCCCAGTCAGGAATCTGCTTTGTCTAACCAGTTCCCAGTGAGGGAACACTACAGCACATCCTCTAGTACCTCAACAGCTCTGACTAGAGTTCAAAACCTGAAGAGGCTATGTTTTCTGGTTTTGGAGCCCATGCATCCTGGCCAGCTTTCAAACACTTAGAAAGACCTTGGAATAACCCACAAGCACCCTCAACTGGTCAGTGCTATGGGAACCAGCACACAGTAATCTCCTCAAAGAGAGAGATGCAAAATCCTACCAGAAACAGGAGGCACACTGTCAGTTGTGGTGGTGTTAGTGAACCCTGCAGCAAACAGGTGATGTGGACCACAGGCAGGCTTTCAAACAGAGCACGTTGTGGTCAATAACTAACCATGGCAAGAAGCTCTATAGTCAACGTTTTCTATACAGTCAATTTTATTCATCTGTTCCCATTTCTCAGGAATCAACTTATTTCTGTAAATGAAGTTACAAGACTAGAATAATTAATCAAGAACAGAAAGTAGAATTTCTTCAGAGAACACAGGCGCTAACTTTACAAGCAATTTGAAGACCTAAAGGCTAAAATTCAACAAAACAATTGACCATGTTGTGTTCTGTGTATGCAGGGATAGCTCCATGAGCTTTAACAAAGTGTCCATCTTTCACAAATTGAGGTCTAGCCTCCCAGTACCTCACAAACATTTTCCATCACAGGTATTGCCACACTGTAGAAAAAATATAACTCTATTTTTGGAGACAGGGTTGTTTGTGCATGGCCATTAGCAGGTACAAAAATTCAGCAGATAATTTTATAATATTTTCTCTTAACTACAACAGAAAGTGCAACACTAAAAAGGCGTCTCCTGTCTACTTAAAAGTCCTTATACCTTTACAAAGCTAACTCTGAATGTACAACATTACATCCTAGAACACACAGGTAAGTCTGGAAGTGTCATGGCAGGAGTATGGAAAGCATGCTTACAGCTTTTGTAAGCAGAAAGACACACAGCAAGACACCAGCGAGAAGTGATTAGGCCTGGAAACAAACAAATTCAAGATGTCCAAGTCTTCGCTACTAGCTGAAAACAAATCCCATGACATTGGTTGATTCTGTAACTTTGCATTTAAAGACTGGCTGCTAAGCTTCTTATCTGAAGAACCACCACAAAGATCAGGAGTTGCTAGCTCTGTTAGAATTAGTCTATTGGATCCAATGGAGGCTTATTTAAATTGCTGACTGAGCCAGATTGACTTTTGTAGGAAGAGGTCCTGCTTCTTCGTGCTCCTCAGGGTTGCATCTCACCACAACGAGTGCAGAGGATGGGTATCTGTGCAGTTTTTGTTCATTCATGTATTCCAAATCTCCATAGATGCTCAGCTTCTGAAATATTTAAACAATTTTAAGACAAAGACTCTCCATAGTGGGAATGAGTTGCATTTCACTGTGCAGCTACAATCCTGGTTCTGATGGCTGCAGCCCTTCAACACAGGTTAACCCACACTTTCTGTAACATCTGAAATTCACAGCTGGAACTAGATTTGAGCCCAGAAGACCTGTACTGGATCTGCCAGAACAGCAGCAGGTACAGTGTTTGTGTACCAGCTCCTTTATTTTGGGAGAGCCTTGCTCAGGTCAGAAGCATGGGGATCACTGGGTGCTAGGGATGCTCACTCAGCCAGGACCCCTCTCTCCAGACTCTCTGCCCATCAGTAGCATGCTGTGACTTCTGTCCTCACAGATGATCCTCCTGGATTAAACCCAAACTGGGTCCCACCTGCACCATCCAACTCTCAATACAGTTTTATTCCCAGAGCAATTAGAAGCAGTCTCTGTTGAGAGTAATCTGAAGGTTGTCAAGAGGAGAGTGCTACAAACCAAAATCTAATCTGGGTTGCTTCAGTAAGGCTCAGAGCACTGTTCAGCCACAGGGACAAGCAATTGTTCAGCTATAGAATCATCAATTAAATAACAAAACTGGTTTACTAACCACATTTGCAAAATAAAAAGAAAAAAACAAACCACAACTCCTTCTTGTTTAACCTCCCCCTAAAAGTTTCTTCATCTCAGAAATAATAGAATGGATAAATTCAAAGCACTAAGTTAGACTCCAGCATTACCTCAGAGGGAACATACTGCTCTACAGCTGTGGCTACAGTTGCACAACAAATCCAGAGCAGCACCAACACCGACAGGACGAGTGTAGTGGTTAAAATCCAGCTGGAATTTCTGAAATGAAAAGGATGTTAACTCAATTTCATATACCAAATATAAGACAACAGACCCTCTAAAATTTTGCCTCCATTTCCAGCTGATTCATTAGTCTCTTGCTCTTCCAGTCATACCGCCCACTTCAGACTCCTGAGTACTCTACTGCCTATTTAATACCTGACATGAAAGACACAATAGACTTGATTCTGCTTATTTGGCTCCAAGTAGCCTCCCATTTTTAAAAACAGGTTTTTCAGTTACAAATCTGGGTTGCAATCTGCTGATTCTTCACATGTAAACTTTTAAGGAGAAAATAATCTGAATAAGGGAAAGAATAATCAATGTGCTGATCTTCAGCAAAGCTTTAATAAAGGTAGACTGGATTATTTTCAGTCTGGGAATCAGACCAAACAGGGTTTTTCCACAACAGACAATCCCAAAACAAAACACAAAACAAGCGCTTTGCCCTGAGACATATCCAGAGCTAAAGAAGGCAAAACACAGTATTGATTAAACACAGAACATGCTCAAAAAAGCAGTGTAGGAAACTATCAATATGATGTTCACTGGTGTATGGATCATCTGGCTCATAGCTGGTGAACAAGTCTTGGTAATGTGTAGCACATGCAGGCGACTCACACACAGGGGGCTGCAGGTGACCCAGCCCTGGATTGCCCTGAGGTCCCATCTGTGCAGAGATAACCTGTGGGGAGCTGTGTAGACAGCTCAGCCCCCAGCTGTCCATAAGCCACAGGCCAAACAGGGCAGTGCTGCACATTCAAAGCACTAAAACCTGAGCTGAGCCTTGAAATACCTCACAAATACTATGCCCCTCAAGTCTCAATTCAAAGCCCTCTTCAGTTGCCTGAGAAAGTGAGATAAAGAGAAGCTGGAGGGTTTCAGTGTTGGTGTCTGGGGCCAACCTCGAGTATCCAGATGACCAGTCTTGCCCATAGTCACCTAAATTAGAGGATTAAACCCCTAAAGCCTGTGTTAGGAATTGGGAAATGCCTCTCCAATACTACACATCTCACCTCTATGGACACCCTTCCCCCTTGGTCAGGACACAGGCCTACGTAATTCTTCTGGGATCGAGAGCCCTGACTGGAGGTGTAAGTGAGTCTTACCTGGAAGTAATGCTGGTAGTTTGTAACCCTGGGTGATTAACTAACACATATAATATTTAGCATGCTTTTTAGGTTTTTATAGACTGCTCTTGGTTTGCAGTTGCAATAGTGCATTCTGCCATTGTATCTGTGAAAACCTGCAACAGTGGCGTATTAAACCTGTAAGTGAAGCCCAAATAAACCATTTGCCTGAGCCCTGCAGTTCAACCTGTAAGTGAGCTCAAACAGATTGTTTGCTTGAGCCTTGCAGTCTCTTCATCACAACCCAAAATGGAAAGGAGAATCACAGTTGGCAGAACAGCCTGCAGAAAGCACGGGGCCAGCATGGAAAAGTAGCAATTACAAACAGTCAGATGCACAATTTTAACTGCTACACATCCAGAGCCTGACAAGCTTGTGGCAGCTTGAGATCTTGCCCAGCGTCCCCACACACCCCCAGAGGAAAGGCCACATCCTCCCCTGAGGGCCGTACGTACATGGACAGACACCTGAAGAAGCTGTCACCTCCTCGCTCTTCAAAGAGGCCTCGGTACGTCTGCGCGCCTCCGGGACGCACCTCGGCTGAAACAGCAGCAGAAACAGTCCACTTTACACACCACACGTGCTCCAGGTCTCTCAAAATTTGCTTTCGTGTGCCACCTGCAAATTCTTTTTATTTTCCCCCCCCTCACATGGCAGGGAACATTTGCATTTGCTCTTCCCCAGCACGAAGAACAACTTACAGGCTGTTTTACTCAGCGACAAGGATCCTCTTGAATCTTCAGTTTCCTGATCAAGCTGTGGAACATACTGTACTTCTGGCTTTGACTACAACAAAAGAAGGAGTTAGAAGAAGATCCTCCTAGCAAGCTTCCACTGATCTTGATATTCTGCATTTTCAGAACAGATACAGAAGTCAACCTTAAGACATGAACCGTTTATCTAAGTTAGATTCCTGCCCCCCCACCCCCAAGCCCTAAAGGCAGAGAAATACTAGCAAAAATAAAACACTTCTGATAGTGCTCCACAGTCTTTTCTCTGACTGGAAGGAGCAGAGTTAAACATTTAGCAGCCAGGACACCTTAATCTCAATGAAAAAGGCAAGCACCTGGAATATGACAATTTTGCCATCATCTGCTTGAAGGTAGAAAGTCCATGAGGATGTTATGAAGCTCTGAGCTGAATCCATCATGTCACTCCAGAATGATCTCACCAGTGTCAGAGGAAAGAGGAGATGAATTCTGGGCATCAGGGACATTAACTGCAAGCACAACATTAACCAGTTTTCCATTTGGTTCTACATGAAGAGGACAGAAGTCATGCTCTCGTCCAAACGCTGCCCCACATCTAAATTTCAGTCCTCAGGAAGATTTATTTTCCAGTTGAAGAAATTTTAAAAAGATAAGACAAGCTGAACAGAAACAAGTAGGTGGTATTTGAAAAACATGTCATCTACTTACTTGCTCTTGCCTTAACTCAGCAAATGGCAATTGGTTCTGGCATCCAAGATGGCAAGCATATTGTTCATCAGATTGGGAGTATGCTTCAGTACAGGCTGCAAGGAGGAAGTTCCCCAAATGAGAAGATAAATTCTGCATTTTCATTCAGAAAACATTTTCAGTTTAAGTTGGATCGGAAACAAAGCAGCAGCTAAAGGACTGACAATAGTGTCACTAATGTGACAAGTATTGAAAATATTAGGCAACTTTTTTTTTTAAGAGAAATGAGGCCCATTCTCTGCATTACAGATAGCTTCTATTAATTCCACACTAGAGATCATAAAGACCAAGAGAGAATAATTTAGATTACTCTGCTGATGGAGAAATCAGGCAGAGAGTACATGGGCAAAGGTCTTCTCCACAACTCTAAAGCTCAGATGGACAATGCTGCAGTGCTAAAGAATCAAATCAAGCAGCAAGACAGGACAGTAGCTCTCCCAGTCCTCCACAGAAACAAATGGACTGCCATAAAGGTTAAGGAGCTGGCAGGAAGCATGGCACCAGCAGCTAAACACGTGAGTGTTCAGCTCACAGCTCCTGAGCAGCAGTTCCACGGTGGAGCTGCCACCAAGGGAGTGTCTGTAGGCATAAAGCAGCATCAGAAGACAGAATTGAGCAGATCAGCCAAGGCACATCTTGCCAAGCACAGAATACTTAGTCAGGGTACCATCCAGTGTAACAGATTACAGAACATAAGCCAGCAAAAGACAACAGCCTCGGGAAGGAGAGTTAAACCAGAAAGTAAGCAACTGTTCAATTACCTCTACATGTGGTCTGTTGCTGCATTACCCTTTTTTATGGCAAAGTCTCCTGTGTGGTGTGACAACCAGACTGACATGCTGTACCACAGCTACACACGCCATACAACAAACTACAGCATTAGCCCATTTTTGGAGTATTTAATGTAGTTCTGTGGCACAGCAGCATCTTTCATGTCAGGCTTTCTACTTGCACACCTTCTGTGAATCAGCTGCCTCAGTATCATTGGGTAAAAGTTCTGTACAATTCCAAACCCAGTATTATTTAGCCCATAGTACACTATTTCATCTTCACCATGCAGCTTTTGCTCTCACACAGATTATCTGAGAGAATCAGTCAACAGTATTTAATGGCCTGCTTCAAATGAAATGCAGACCTGTGTCACAAACTGTGAATGGGACTGATGGCTGCATGGAGTTATTCAAGGAAAAGTGTTAATTTGACTGGATTTTTTTCCCAGCCATCTTCTGTTTTCTATGACAAATTACTTGGAGTAAAATGAAGTGTTTCTAATTTACTTACAGAGACTAATGACACTTGAGAAATTCGGGAAAACAGCAACACTAAGGATCAAGTGAGGAATAACTCACAGAGAACAGAACCTTTTCCCAGGGTGATGATTGGGTTGTTTGTTTTTTTTTTTTTTTTCTACCCTGTACATAAATGTTAAGAAGTTGTTAAACAAAACAGAAAGCAAGGGAAGTAATCCCACCGACTTAACACCACCCTGTTCCAGACATTCATCATCTTCCCTCTGTTAGGTCCCCTCACTGCAGGATGTTGAAGGAGTACTGGAGCCTTACCAGAGTCACACTCCAGCTTGGTTCGGTTCAAATCGATGCCGTCGTCCACAAACTGGCAGATGGAGAAGAGTCTGCAGCCTCGCTGGCAGGCGTACAGCTCCTCCTCCTGGGGAGGCACAAGAGAAAGGCTCCCAGCCCTCCAGCCCAGAACAAATGGCCACAAAACAAATACTTCTATGTATTTTTTGAGAGGCACAAAAAGCCACCCACCAAAGCGCCACCCTCCCTCCTTCCACTAGACCTAGAAGCAGCTAAATATGACACTCTGGGGCAATCCCAAACAAATAAAACCCAGCTACAGCTCTTTTAGCACTAACACGCCTACTGATCCATTCCAGAGCTCTTCACTCTGTGGTGGGGCAGATCTGGAACTGCAAATTCTGTTTTGTACTTCCGCTCCTACCCCTCACAAGCAAAGCTGGTCTGAAAACAACAGGTTCTCCTGTAAAAGATTTACTGATGTTTAACCCTACAAAGAGGAGACAATCTTCCATCTCTGAACTTGGAACAGTAAAACCTGAACTGGGGGGGGGGGAGGAGGAAGGCCTAATTTTGACAGTGTATTAAATATATCCACCAGATTCTAATCAGAACTACAACAGTATTGCAGAAATAAGAGACCTTCTGATGGACTTGCCAAACCAGTTCCACAAACACAGATTTTTATTTATTATATTGAACTGAAGGAGAAAAGTGCTGCCTCACTGCAACTCTCAAAAGGATGCAAACACAGAAAACCTACAGCTGGTGTTTCTCCTGCCCACAGCAGCACAGAGGGGGTGGACACTTCCCAGGCACAGTGCCCTCCACGCTGAACAATGCAGACAGCCCCTACTACCTGAGTGCTCCTGCCTCTGCTAGTGCTCCTGCCATGAACCAAACCCACCAAAACCACACAACCACTCCAACGACTGCAGCCACTTGCTGTACAGGTGGAAAGCAGACTCTGACTAGTTCAACAAAACCCAAACATGCCACACCTCACTTTATAACCTATTGTAAATTGATCAGCCATTGTTTGTCCCCAAGAGCGCAACCTCACATGTTTTAAAGGCATGGAAGTAGAAAACCACAAATATAAATTAAAACTTAACTCTAACAACACTGGCAAAGTGGCCAAGAGAGTTAAGCTGTCACAGAAAACACATTTTGTCATTAGATACCCAAGACAGAATTAGCTTCAGCAGCCAGATTTCTGTGGCAGTCTCCCATGGAACTCTCAATGAAGCTTGTTGTACTAAAACAACTGAATGTTTTAAATGGAAACTAAAGTGGGTGTTGGACTTGCTGATCTCCAGAGGTCCCTTTCAACCTCTAACGTTCTGTGATTCTGTAAATAGCAACTAAAACAATTTCCTTCAATTCAGCTGGTAGTTTTGTGACGAAGACTTTGGAACAAAGGCTAAATGTAGAGATAAGCATATTATTCAACAGCCCCAACAACACACAACAAAGAATGCAAAAATACAGTAAAACCCACAGAAATATCAGCCTTCCTTGAACTTGAAAGAGTCCTAAATAGAAACAAGAGCATGTGCCAAAAGAATATGGAAATATATTAGGATAATGTTTAGTCCTAATTTCTCAGGCTTAGTATTTTTCTCCTCAGTATCATCACAGCAAAGCATGCTGGAAGTACAGATGCCAATTTACTTGTATCCTACACCACTCCCTGCTCCTTCTCTGTGTGTAGAGTCACAAAACCCAGCTGAAGTTCCAATGAAAGCAGACAAGTCCTGTTACCTAACATGGTCACTGCTCCCATTTGCTGCTGCCCTCGCCTGAAATCTCCAAGACAGGTCAAGAGCTGCCACCACTTAAGAGTTCAACCTGCTACACAGCTCTAGCTGATCATGAAGTACATTGCCAAGAAAGAACAAGGAAAGATTTTGGATACTCAGACCTCCCAAATTCAAGCCAGTAGCTCAAAACTGTATAAACGTCTGGAGTTACACTGGCTCCCTGACTCAGAATCTCTGGCCTGTCATGAACACAGCACTGGTTTAGTGCCCAAAAATACAGAACCTCAGACAAATTACAGCTGCTTTTTTAGGAACAAGAGGGGAAAAAGCAGCAATTCTCCCCAAACCCACAAAAGCACACAGCACTAACAAAGCAACACTTTGGAAGCAGCATTTCTTTGGCAAGCTGCAGCTGAATCATCTATTTTCAAACCGAAGCATCTATCTTTAGAGAAGGCATTGCATTCCCCGGGTTGAGGGGCCGAAAACGTAAGCCAGATGGGAGACGGCAAGGCAGAACAGCAGCAGGCTGCTGACGGCCCCTCGGCTTCCTTCGGGCGCCTGCTCGCCTGAGGGCACGTCCGACACCGCCCGAGCAAACGCGCACGGGGACGTGCCTCGGACGGTCTCCCACCCGAGAAAATCCCGCTGGTCTCCGGCCCCGCTGCAGCAGAAGGGGCTGCGGGGGGAGAGGGGCAGCGACAGGCCGGGCTACTGCGGAGAGGGGAGAGGAGAAGCGGCGCCGAGCCCGGGAAGGGGCGCAGGCAGGGCCCGCCCGTACCTTGGGGTAGGTGTGCAGGGAGTAGGTGAGCTGGCAGGCGCGGTGACACGACGCCGTGTTGCCCAGCACGGAGTCGAAGGCCTCGGACGAGGCGG